AAACACTTGGTATTTTGTACCTGAAAATAAATGTGTGATTCCATTTACTTGAAGTTCTACAATAGCCAAGGAGAATCGACAGTGAGGAAATCAGACCAGTGGTGGCCTGTCAGGGGTACAGGGGTGCACTTGACTCCCATGATGCATAAGCGATCTGGACTTCATCAGAGTAGTGGTTACTCAAGTAGAGACATTAGTCAAAACGTACTGAACTGCATACCAAAGGTGGGTTCGTTTTACTTTCTGAAAGCTGAACCTACAATTGATTTAAAATACTTTCTGTCTCATAGATTCCTGAATTAAATGCAATCCCCAATCATTCTGTATCTTCTAATCAATGGATTCACCTTTGGAGACACCTGTTCATTTCTAGTCAAGACTGAGTGGTCCTCTAATGCGGAAAGTTTGAGACTGCACTAGATGATGTCTAAAGTCCTTGGAACTCCAGTGCCCCATTCTATAGACTACATGGCTGGTTATTCTAAGATCCTGCTATTAAATTGCCCAGATCTCATTCTTTACCCATGCTTCTTTCCCCAGGCCAATCAGGCTGCGTTATCCCAGTGAAATCCCAGCAGATGACCCCAGCTGCTTTCCCTAGCTCCGCCCTGCCCAGCCATCCTAACAGGGGTTCTATCTCTTGAGCCCCTCCTTGCAGGAGGCACTCAGTTCAAAATTAGTGTGTTAGGAATTAACAGCAGAAAGTTAATTCCTGGCAGCATTCTTATTTGTGAGGGCTTTGTCTTCTTTTCAAAGCAGAGTCATTCACAATTTAAAGTGATTCATTGCTTTTTGGTTCTGAAAGACTGAAAGTGCAGGAGTGCTGCAAACAATTACTGTTCACTGAGCACCATGTGTTAGCTCAGCACTTTCTACTCGAGTTGAGAGTCTCCCCAAAACACAGATAAACTTGTTCTTGCTCCAGATAACTTGATGAAGGCTGGGATTTAGTCACTGCCTTTGAGGTACTGCTGATGCTCTGAAACTCAGTACTGAGCCAGGTTTCCCTGTATAGCTCCATTTCAGTCACTTTCATTGCTACCCTCACTCAGTGCATTGTGTGTGTGTGTGGGGCTTTCAGATCAACTCCAAAGGAGCGCAGGGTGGCAGAGGGGCTCAGAGTCACCCTGAGCCACAATGGCATTAGTTCAATCAATGTGGGATCAGGATGGAGGAGAGAGGTAAGTACTTCCTTTTTTCCATTCCCAGGCTTCTCAGATTTCCCATTCAGTCAGTTGTCACATGGGTAAAAAGCAAGCATAGCATTATTTTATTGTTCTACTATGGCCCCTCCATTACTCACATTTTACAGATGAGGAAACTGAGGTTGAGATACTGGTGTTGACATACCAATTTCAGAATGTACAGAATCAGGAACGTTGCATGGAAAGGAGTGCATAAGTACTTAGTAGTACTTCTGGTTTGTAGGAGTCTTGTGGAATTGATGGTTCACTCTTGGTCTTCCAAAGAGTTTTTCTCCCCAGATGGCAGTCTTTATTTAGGGTCACTGCATCACCTTGTGGTCATTATGGGAACTGCACCTCTCATAAGTCCCAGAACACTGGTTCATAAGGCTTGGTTCATAAGGCTGGGGTTTTCTCTGAGTGTGGAAGTTTATCAGGTTTTCTAAAATCCCAAAGGAAAAATCTGATAGAACTGGCCCTGAAAAAGATAGCTGTATGACTTGTGTAGCCAGGGAGAGGAGTCTTGCATTTCCCTTTATGCATTTTTCACTTAACTTGGTCTCAGGGTTCTCGCAGGCAGCCTGAGTTTTCTCTCTGTCCTCAATTTCTTTCTGAACCTTCTCTACCCTGATTCCTTCCCTGCCATGTAACGTTGGTTGTAGCTGTGTCTATTGTCCCTCCATGTTACTCTCCTTTGTTGGCAGAGGGAAGTGTAATTTTTTTAATTATTTGCCTTAAGAGTGTCTTCTTTATTATTTCAGCTAAGTTAAATTTATTTCTGCAACATTGTAAGCTACACAACCTTGGGCAATTCACAGTCTCAATGAGCTCCCTTTGCAAAATGGTAATAAGGATATACCAAAGATTTGGGGAAGATTAAATGAAATGCTGCATTTAAAAGCACTTGGTAAACTATAAACATGCAAATATAGTGACTATCAGAACATATTTCTTTCCTCACTACTCATGGTAAGAGGTAAGGCCTTATCCATCCAGTGTGCCTTTCACTTTTAACTTCTTTTCATAAGTGGAGCATGGATCTCCCTCAGAAGTGGTACTTAGGGAACAAGGTGGGAGAAGAGAAGGGATGGGACAGACGACTGGACAGTTTCCATAACCAGAAGTCACTCTCAGATCTAGGAATGCTCTCTCCAGCTTTGTTTAGAGGTGCTAAAACATTTGTTAAAATGTTCCCACATTCCAGCATGTGTGATCACATTTAATTTTCACGGCTGTCCAAGAGAGGTGTGATAACCCCATTTGCCTGTTCTGCAGATGAAGCATCTGATAATCAGAGGGGTGAAAGGGTTTCTTAGGTTCATGGGGTAGTAGAGCTGAGTTTAGAATGGGGATCCTTTGATTTCTGGTCAGGGCACCTTAATTAACCACACATCATATTATCTCCTTATAACATTGAACAGGGGCTTCTGCATTAAGAAATAAGAAATGAACTTTGCAGAGTATACAGTCACATGTAAGTACACAACTAAATGAAAACATCAGGAGACAATACTTAGCCTTATGTGTAGTGCATTCTATTTTGTCCTAAAATTAAAGAGTGCTGTTCACGACTCACTAAATTGATTCACAATCCACTGGTGGCTAAAGACTTGAAGTTTAGAATAATCTGAGCTAGAAAGTTCTCAAACTGTCTCTCGGGACATGTGACTATTATGATTGACCATGGTTTCAAATGGGAATTATGAAGCTAAGAAAATGGATAGGGAAAAGATGAATCTAGAAAGTTCCACCAGTTAGATCATATTGTCTATTCAGGGAAATTGACTTTTGGAAATGTGACGTGAAAAGCTCTAAAGTAACTGTATTACATTTGAAGACAGCATTTATCACTCACAACTATTACTGCCTTTCTCTACATCAATCTCTACCCCCTCACCTCTCAACAACTATGGAAGGGGATATAACTTGTTCTTGGGACATTAGGCATTTTGCTTGATGGGTGGTCAATAAATACTGGGTCACTAAATAAAAAATTAGTAACAATCTTACTTGTTAGTTTTACTATTCAAGGTAATTGTAAATTCAAAAGGCCAAGGCACTAACTTTACTTACATAAGATCCATGTGTTAAAAAGTAGCGGCTATGAGCTTTACCCTAGTGGTATGACCCTGGGGAAAGGGAAAGTCCAACGGAGGAAGCAGTCATAAATACAGTCCTACCCTGTTCATTCACACCTGTTATCTAGCAACTCATGGAGTAGATAGGCCCTGGGCCTTCAATATGTGTCCTTTGGTAATGAAGCTTTCTTCTTTTCCTTTGATGGCTTGACTCTTCCCTAACTTAGCTGAAGCCCGTAGACCTTCAATGTGAACCTGACCAATGCAACATGATTCAATGCAAGAGTATGAATCTTGGCTCAGTAGCCACTTTAGAAATTTAAAATTGAAAGCACTGGGGGTTCTCTGTGTTGTGAGTACTTGCCACAAGTCTGGGTCACACTGATGAGTCAGGGCTACACACTCAGATAACCCTGGAGAGACACCTGGGTGGCATGAAGCAATGGACAAGACTTCGGTCCACACTATTATCCTGCCTACAGGTACCCACTATTGCAAGTGCCAGCTCTCTACATGACTGCTGGACAGCCACAGGATGCCAGAACAACTCAAGTCCCCAGCATGAGGGACTGGTGTGAAATAGCAACTCTTCAGGCCGTTGCCTCTGGGAAGAACAGGACACTACACTACTGTCTTCTTCTTTGGGGGAGGGGCGAGGGAAGGGCCTTAATCCCATGGACATACTCAGAGAAAGCACCTGTACCACTTCCACTGTTACACAAACTGACTGAAGCTACGAGATGCTGAAAGGAAGGGTGGGTGGGGGGTGAACCAAATGCCCTCTCTGTTTTCCTCTCTGAGATGACGCAGGGGAGAAAACGAGGCTGCACTGCAGTCTTCAAGGCTTTGCCTTGGAGTTTTGTTTGCAAACAGTCATTAGTAATGATGCTACCAACACAAGATTAAAGAACTAATATATAAAATCACAGTTTCATATTTACCTAATGATTCTTAAAAACAATGACTTTTCTAGATTTAGCAGTAATGTTGCTGTATATTATGAAATAGAAATGCTTTCATAAAACTGTGAGGATAATAAATCAAATGTATGTGAGGAAAACGAGAGGAATATGAGTTTACATGGTGGCTCTGGCTCACTGATAGGAGCCAGTTTAAAGCATAATGTCCCCGATCCTCAATTTCCGTATGACACTTACTGTAAAGAACTGCTATGAGGACTAAATAACAACGTAATCAATTAACTTATTAAACCGTTAATTACATCTCCTTTTCACTTGTGGTTAGCAAATACATGATTTTCCGTACAAAAGTATGTTACCTACGTTTGTATTTCAGCTTTCATGTATATTTCATATACGTTGCAAAGAGATGATACACAAACTATTCTTCCCAACAACCCCTCAGGGCTGATTAAATCAGAAAAAAGAAAAAGACACTGAATGTATTCTACATAAGAAAAAATTAAGTCCCACGAAAAGAGTAAGTAAGTTAAGTAAGTCCCATTTTCTAACTTTCAAATACTGGTAAGGCTCGGATTTGACAATTTATAACCAGAGGATGTACGCTGGACGGGGCATGAACCATCACTATTCTAGTCATTTTTATTTGCCTCAATCAAGGCAACTTATAGTTGAAACTTTGAAGACTATTAAAGAAGAGCGTTCACCGCCTCTGTTCATCTGAAGGCGTGTGAGAGTCGGCACCTGCTCTATGCCAAAGCCCCGTGCGTCGTCCGCGCATTGCGCATTGGAGCCAGGCAACCGCAGCGCACACCCACCTTTCTTTTCCTGGGAATGGGCTCGTCGAAGAGCAGGTTGCTGGCCTCGGCCTCGTCAATGCCATCGTCTGGCTGCGCCGGGCTGCGGAAGGGTTTGAAGCTGTCAGCCGACAGTGGTGGTGACGGTGTGGACGGGTTGGACTGGTCGCTGGGGGCGCTCCAGCTCCAGTAGCCGCTGCTGCTGCTGCTGGAAGGCGCGCAGCCGCCCTCCTTCCAGGATCCGCTCAGGCCCTCTGCAAACACGCACACACAGGGCGTCAGGGTGGGGTCTGCCAGGGGACCCCAGGGACTGCTTTGGCCTTGAAGCCACCCGCATCCCATCCAGCTCAGTAACGCGAGCTACAGCTGGGCATGCAAGTTCTGTCCTGCACCTCAAGTCGTATTATTACAGTTTATTCACATTCAGTTACTTTAACCACATCACAGGTTTTCCTAAGTGTTCTCTCATGTGGGCTGTGTTGTGCAGTACCAGTTCCTTGGGGAAGACTATATTAAAACAAGAAAAAAAAAAAGATTTTGTTGTTCATAAAGTCTGGGTTTATTGACTGAAGTACTTCTGAGAAGAATATTATTTGCAGTAATCTCCCAAGTTATTTGGACACTGAGTATTTCCCTCGTATCCCAATGCGAACCTTTTAAAAAAAGCATTACTCATAGGACTGTGATTCTTAGAATACATTGATAGGAAGTTAAAGATTTAAGCTTCTAAGCGAAACAGTAATTTCTGGATAGATATCTGAAGTCATTTCCAAGCTGCTTATTATAACAACAGTGCCTTACATTTTGTGAATGCTTTTAAATCTTATTAAGCTCATCCAAATAGCGTCAGGCAGCCTTGCATCTGTCTCTCAGAATAAGGGTTACTCCCATTTTACAGAGGAGGATCCTGAGGCAACAGAACAAGTTAAATGACTTGCCACATGACCAGGAAGTGACCCTGCTGGGTCCAGGGACCATGCCCTGGTCTGCTGTTGGCTCTCTGTCCCCCAATGCACGTGGGTCGTATTCTGTGAACACCCTCTATTCTTTCTGGCAAGGCTGGGATCAGATAAAAGTTTATTGGTAATAATTACTGGTAAGATTGGTGTTCAATTTAACCTTTCTACTGGTGGAAAGCGCTAAGGGAAACGTTTGCTAAGGTAGAGATTTTTTTGCCCAGATAGAATGCCTTGGGGAGTGTCTTGTAATCACTGAAGGTTTGCTCACCCTTTCAAGATACCCAATCTTAATTAGCATTTGTATAAATTCTACTTTCTTTCTGGATAACTTCTTCTTCATATTTGTGTGCATTGTGAATATATTAAAACTATTCTAATTATAAGAAGGAAAAAAATCCCAAAATGCCTCATTAAAAAATATTATTATAATTAGTAATGAAGTGAAGATAAATGGTAGAACAGCATTCATGGAGAAATTTCTTGACTACCCTTACCTAATTAGAGATTTCCAGTATATTTCTCAACTATATTAAGCAAAAAGTTTAGTTGAAGGCAATGAAGTTTTAAATTGATGTAGGAAAAGTTGCCCATTTCATTATAGCCAGGTTTTGTCAGAATTGAACTGTCATTTGGGCAGGCTCACACCTTACCAACATCAACAAAGTCAAATTAGCCTCCCCTCCCTGCAACAGACTGATACCCTCAGCAGGCTGGAGCCATGTCTTATAAGAAGAAAGCTTGGCTCAGAACAATAGGCCATCAGCGGTAGCCTTGTGGAAGGGCTTACGTGATGTTACCTGGTGTGAAAACCTCATTTGGCAGACCCAGGTGACTTATACATAAGCCCCTGCATACACTTGTAACAATAAAATCAAGTTCACGGTGCTGAATGTGTAATCACACTGGGTATGAGGAAGTGAATTTATTTTTGAGAACTATTATTACAGTATGGTTACATCGCTTCATGTCAATGCCAAAGGTAACTTGCTTATTGGTTTGTGAATGGTATTTCCTTTTGGAACACTATTTATCAGAAGGACAAAGTAACACAGAAATGTATTTTTCAGAAACAAGTCAGGACTGATTCATAGTATTTCTTAGGTCACTGGCAGCTTTGGCAAGAACATTCACAGAGAACTCTCCCTGAAAGGAAGCCGATTGCATCCACCTAACTAACTGTAATGCACTGAGCCCACCGAATGAGACTTGCAAGCAATGGGCACCTCTGTAGACCAGCATAGTCAGTGAGATTGAGCTATCGTTCACACAGTTTAGTTTTTAGCATGAGCTGTTATAATAAATGTGTAGGGACATCCAGTGAGTCCTCATCTAAACCTACTCCAAGTCCATATCTCCCTATTTTAAACAAATATTTGCCAAGGATGCAGACAGACACTGTTGGACTCTCACCATCTTTATGGCCCACCTCTTGACAGAACAATCCTTGTCAGGCCCAGAAAAGGATCATAAAAATTTCTATAAGGTCACTGATACACAATAATTTGGAACAACATATTGTAGTCCTAAAAATTTAATGCCTTTAATATCATAAGTTGCTCTCTCTATTTAAAATTTGCATCCTGTTACAAAGTAAATGAGATATCAATTTGGAGTTATTAGTTGAGTAGGTATTTTTTAAGCCATGAATGAATACTGAAATACTCTATTACTGTGCTAACATAAGTTTGCATTGAAGGATCAAAGGTTTATTTTAACACTAACCTTTAAATACAAAGGAACATTAGAAATGTACTCAAATAAAAAAAAAAAGAATCCAAGGGTGAAAATAATGATTAATTTAAAATATATCTTTTTTTCTCTAAGGATTCCCCCTTTTCCTGGAATATGTTTTCGGGGTGCCTTGAGCTTTGCTCTTACTGTGATCCTTCTTTAGCATATTACCAAGCTGAGAAAAGCAAATCAGGGTCTGTGTTTGCCAAGAGGCCCCTAGAGAGTCAAGTCACTGAACAATAGTAGCAGCCTTATCTCGAGGGCACCTGACCTCCTCCAGGGCTGTGTAAAGGGGGGTGAGGTGGCATCATTCAAGCTCACAGTGAATCCAGTTGTTGAGCACAAATGATTCATGATACTGATTTGAATTCCTAGCATTGATCATTCTTTCCACTTGGAGTAGAGGACTCACTGGATGTCCCACATTTATTGTAACAGCTCATGCTGAAAACTAAACTGTGTGTGAACCATAGTTCAATCACTGACTATGCTGGTCTGCAGAGGTGTCCATTGCTGGCAAGTCTCATTCAGTGGGCTCAGTACATTACAGTTAGGTGGAGTGCAATCAACTTCCTTTCATGGGGAGTTGTCTGTGAATGACCTTGCTAAAGCTGCCAGTGTCCTTTTTCTTTCTTTACTCCTGTTTTGGCAGCATTGGAGTTTGAACTCAGGGCCTCAGGCTTCCAAGGCAAGCACTCTACCACTTGAGCCACATCTCTAGCCCAGTGACCTTTTAAAACTTGATGCAGAATTCCCTGCTTTGAATTTTCTACCCTCTGAAAACTCAGGTGTTTCCTCTTGAAACCTGCACTTCCCTTGGCTTCCATAAATCCACATTTTTCTGGGTTTCCTCTACCTCTCTGGTTAATTCTTAGGCTTTTCTTAGGCAGTTTTTCCTCTACCATCCCTTACATGATGGCAAGCAGGCTGAACCTGTTTCCCCTTGGCCATCTTCTCTTTGCACTCATGTCTACACCTCTCTCATCTACTCTCATCTACTCTCACAGCTTAAAATTGCCTTCCAGTTCTGTGCCATCAGTGCAGATCTCTTGTCCAGCCTTTGCTCAAATCTCTACTATATATTTCCCTCTGAAATGATCCTAGGCTCTGCCTACTAAACATGCTTGAAACACCAATCATTTTCTTCAGCATCCCCATCTATTTCTTCAAACCTATTCCTCTTTCTTTGTTCCCTGTCCCTTGGTAAAGAAGCGAACTGCCTTGACACATTCTCCACTTTCTCCTCTCTCTCACCAAGTCCGGTGGATTCTACATTATTCATCTTTCCCAATTATGTCCTATTCAGCCCCACTATGACCACTAAGGTTCAAACCATCCATACATGTGTGATGGCCTGTGATCCTGATCCTAATTTTCCACTGCCTGGGTGACTTTAATAGCTCTCTCACTGTCTCAGAATAAAGTCCAAACTCCTAACTAGGCATAAATGACCCATGATGGTAAAGCTCCTGATTCACCTCCCTCTATCTACCATCCTGGCTTACACTGAGTTTAATGAAGCAGTATTACATCATGATTAATACGTCACATCCAGAATCAGAAAGATATGGACTAGATGATTAGCTCTGCCACTTATAAACCAATTAATCTATATGCACCTTAGTTTACTATCTATTAAATAGTAATAATAGAGTCGTTGGGAGAATTACATGAGGTAAAGTAAGCATAGTACTTGGCACATGGTAAATGGTCAATAAATAGAAGCCATTAATATGGCTATGATTGATAGTCTTTTTTCCCAAAGAGACTGTGTACTGCCTGGGAATATGGACACTATTTTCTAATGATGTATTCAAATAATCTAGATGGTACCTGATAAATATACATTAGATTAATGGATTAAATAATTTTATTCAATTTAAGGATAATGCATTTAAAAATATTTAATCTTCAGTAAGTCAAAGATTGAGGCAACTACCTCCCCAATCACATAGAAATTATCTGGGGGAAAACTGATCAATCTCTATTTACCTGGGAAAAAAGGAACCCAGGTACTACAAAGATGTGTCATGGAAAGGCAGAAAACAAGTGATGGGACTCTATAAATGTGAGCTGAATGGATGGTGGATGAAATGCAGTGGGATCTCTGGGGAGATGTGAAAGAACCCTGAGCTAGCCATTTCTCTACAATTCCCCTGCTTCAAGGTTAACTGTTCACTTGACAGAAAAAGACTCCTCAAAGAGAGGTCCCAGTTTTGGTGTCAAGGGGCCCTTGCCTAAGCCCATACCATTGGCTTACCATTTGGCCGCACAGGAGGGCTTCGAACCAAAGGGCTGGTTGACAAGCTGGTGAGTACCATTGCTGCTGTCACTTTGTCCATGTCTACTTCCTCTGAAGATTTTCTGTAAAACAGGAAGGGGCTTGTAAGCTGTGCTCACTCTGCATGTATCGTGGGCCAAGCAAGGTGCCACAATTTGTCACATATTTACTTCTTTAACTTATTCCCACAAAAATCCAATGTTCTGCTAGTCTTATTTTATAGATAAGGAAACTGAAGTCCAAGAGGTTAAGTGATTCAATAAAAGTTACACATATCAGGAAGAGAAGGATTTCTTCATTCATTGTTCAACTAATAACTGTTTACTGAGTATACTAATGGGCTAGACGCTGCTCTAGGCATGAGTGATACATGATGACAGCAGACAAGGTTCTGGGGCCATCATAAGCGTCAGATTTATTTTAAGTGGGATGGGAAGTCACTGGAAGACTTTCAAAGCAGGTCTACTGATATAATATGATTAATATTTGCAAAATAATACCCGTCATATGGTGAATGGATTTCAGGGAAAGCAGATAGAAGAGGGAGGACAGTTAGAAGATGATTGCCAGGAGTCCACATGAGAGAAAGTAGTGACTTGGACCATGGTGGGGTCTGTGGCAGGGGACCTGGAGGGACTGGTTGATACATTGGGTGGGGAGATGAATAGAAAGGAGAGATCCAGCATGGCTCCAGGTGTTAGCTAGCACCATTTATTGAAATCAGAGAGACAGGAGGAGAGACTAATTACAGGACTTTAAACTAGAGTGTTATTTTTAATTTTTTCTCCTCCACACCCTACTAGAGGAAGAATAGGTCACAAAAATAGGTATGTTGCCCAAAGCAAAAACCCACTGGTAACTGTTCATGGAGATGAAGAGGTTGCTCTGGTTCATTACTTTTGGCCAGTTGGCCCCGAATAAAGGCCAGTAAGACCATGATGATGATGACTGGAGTCAGTGTGCTTAACTGTATTTCAATAAAGAAGTTAAAACTGAGAGGCAAAAACTCATGAAGTACACTGACATCAAATAAATTATGCCACCTCCTGAGAGATGAACATTTTCCAATTAGGGAACAGTCGAAGAAGCACAACAAAGGATTAATAAGCCATATCTACAAACGAATTGTCACTTTGACAAATATGGCTTTCGTTCACAGGTGTGCTGTATAATTTGTAAAAGCAATGAACTCTAGAGTCAGAAACTTCACAGTGTTGCTTTACAACATAGTGGGGAAAAGAAAATATTAAATTGAAGAAAAATGAAATAAATCCTTATGGGGGGGTCTGCTCAGTTAATTTCATTATATGTAGTTAAAAATATTATCCGTTTAGCCTTCTGATGTCCACCATGATGCTAATTTACTCACAAAGCTTACTTTTTCAATTCAAAATACCTTATAATTCTTCTCAAAGCACCTTTGCTCTTTTCTCAATAGACTATTCCATCAAAAGACAAATTACTTGTTTCAGTGGCTGGCAATTAAAAATATTTCTATAAAGCAATCTTGAGCACGCACAATGAAATTCTCCCCATGGAAGTCCTGAAGCAATGTTATGCGCTTAAGGGGAGAAAATCCCACTCCCTGGTTTGCCAACACTACTCAAGATCATGCAGCAGTCCCAGTCTATCATATCCCGCCTTCAAAGTTGGGAGTAAATGTGATGCCGGTTTCCCACAGAAACAGAGCCTTTGGAATAGCAGCAGAGAAACAGTGCAAAGCACCGTGGTGGAATCTGAGTGTTTTGTTGGCTCAGGTCCCCCATGTGGTCACAGTAACAGAAGAAGAAACAAGTTGGGGCCTCAAAGGAGAAAGGGGCTTCTCTAGCTCCATTGTCATGCTGGTATCGGCCACACCAAGGCAGGTACTTCCATCACGTCTCAAGACCGAATTATAGGAGTTGTTGGCTTCCCTTTCCAACTGTCAGTTTTCTCTTGTTAACAAAGGTTTAAGAACCAAGATAAGAGGCCTATGCACCTGGCACAGGAAAATGCCATTACTGCAGGGAGAAGGTCCCCTTGCTGTCTCCTTTATTCCTAAAAGGATTTGCTAAACACTCATGCCTACACATTCTTCTATATCTTGGTTTAGGGACCTTTTTTTCTCTTCCTCAATTTACTTAGTATCCTTTCTTTAAAAAAAATTATGAGGTGAATACTTGTTTTTAGAGGTCTGATAATTAATTCAAAAGCTGGTTTATGTGGATTTTCAAATATGAAAATCAATAAAGAACACATCATTATGAAATATGCATTGCTGAAATCACTACACTTCAAAATAACTGCGCATCATAAAGCAGATTTCCAATGAAAGGAAAAATGAAAAAGAATGAAAAGAGGAATAATTACTAGTATGACCATAGTGCTACTGTATCTTGACTTCCTCTGGGTTTTCCACTAGCATTAGGGTTCACTAACAGCAAAATCAAAGGAATCCTTGGCTAATGAGCCAGTTAACCCACATTTCTAGGGGACTATTTTAATCTTACCTCATGAAATGCTGCCAGATGATATGGCAGTTGTGTTGTTGTTTTTATCTTTGTTTAATTTCTTTTGGTACAATACTATCTAATTACTGATTAATTGGTGCTGCAAATTCAAATCCTTATAATTAAACATGAAGGGATGATATATAAAGTAGAATCTATTACACTTTGAGAAAACCGCTGCAAAGGCCTTCTGGTAGATGTAGAATGGTTAAAAAAAAGATATCAGAGGTGACATTAAATATTCTCTACAAATCTGAACTTGAATCTATTTTTTTAGTTTACAGAAGTTTATTAAATTGTTTAATTAAAAAATTAACTGTTGTTTATTAAAATTCTGTCGCAGAGTACCTATCCAGTTTTAAAGGGCAAGCTGCATGCTGCTGCCATATAGGCAGCTGCAGTTTTCAGTCTACCTTTTTGAAGATGAAAAACCTTTTGAATCTACTATTGAAAACCTGGCCAGTCATTTTCCTGGAGGCTCAGACCTTCCCAATTCATCTTTCCTCCAGACTTACTTGGGTATTATGGAACTTAATCTGTGGAATTATTTTTAAAATAATAATAATAGTCATGGTCACTGGCTCCCACAGATGAATAAGATTTCATGAAGGGAGAAGCAGTTCCAGGAAGAATAGCAGGCAAGTCCTTGGCTTGCTCAGAGACTGCATAGCTGTCCTGGGTGAAACATGGAGATAGGGTGGTGGGTGATGGGGTTAGGGGCAGAGCCTGGACCAGGTCATAGGGCTGCATGTGTCAGGCTGAGTGATCTCTTGTAAGCACAGAAAAGCCATTAAACATACGTGAAACTGGGAGAGAGATGACCAACTATATTTTAGGAATATGTCAAAAAGGAAGATGCAATAGAAAGGAAAAAAATTAAAGGCAGGCTGTTCAGCTTAGTAAAATCTCCATTCAAAGCATTAGACCAAAAGAAGCAACAGATTCTACGCAGTCTCAGAACACTCCTTCCTTGACTTCTGCTAGGGATGCGTTCTGGACCTCTCTAGAAGAGTCAGTAACAGTAATGGCAAAGAGTGCAGCTCAGTTACGTGACTTTAAATTTGCTTTCTACATTACTACCAGTGTGGCTTTCAGTAAATTCCTTAAGTTCTCAGTTTCTTTAAACTCTGTTTCTTCATTGAGACAAGGAGCATAAAATTAGGTTCTTCAGAAGATTAAATAAGAAAACATATGGGCACCTGCATGAGCCTTGCCCATAGTCCCAAGTTCCAGGGGCTGCTGCTGACCGTCAAGTTCATGAATACATCCGTAGTGCGTATACCCCACGGACAGGGGAGGCACTAGACTACTTACCCTTCTTATTTAGCACCAGCACTAGTAATTATTACTTTCCCTGTGTGTGTGTGTGTTTGCAATTTTTTCATAAAGGACAAAACTGTTATTATAAGTTCCTCAACAAGAGCTGGCAACCAGCATGTGGAGGGGCAGGTGCTGGGCCCCTCTTGAGGGCTTCAAGTTGGTGCTATGACATAGACACAACTCTGTACCTCCTGAGTCTTGGCCAGACTAGACTGTCCACAAATAGTCAAAGCCTGTGCATTTACGCTTTCCATACTTACTCTTGGAGCATGTGCCACATGCTAGAGGTTGCACGAGAGAATTATATTCTCTATGAAAAATAAAAAGTCTACCCTACTAAGCTCCAGGCTAGTGAAGAACCAGACCTTAAACACACACATGCACTTGCAGAGGTGACAAATGCCAGGGGCAGCAGCGTGGTTAGATGAGGACATAGCTAAGTGAACCAGGAGAATGGGCTGAGACTGGAAGTAAGCCTGAGCACGGTCTAACTTGGGGTAGACAAGCTTCTGAGCAGCAGAAGCGAGAGGATAAAGCTGGCTTAGAAAGGGACAGAAGGACTGAGCATGGTGTGCAGTGTACCTGGGAAGGGGCAGCTTCCAAGTTCTGTGAGGGTTTTCTTCCTTGTCTTCAAGACCCTGGGGGCACCAAAGTGTTCCCAGTAGACTGGGGTGGGAAGAAGTTGGGTAAGGTTTGTTGATGCCATCAGATAGATTTGCTTTTCAAAAAGCTTGCTCTGGCTGTCGTGTGGACAATGGGTTTCTTGGGTTGATAACAGATCTGAGGAACTGACTGCCTGGTGACTGCAGCAGCAGGCTGTTGAATGACATCATCTCTAACCTAAAGAGGCAATCAGCAGAGTGTGGGCAGTGCTAGTGGACATGGCCCTCAGGCCCCCAGGTCTCGTGCACAGGTGAGCACGGCAGGTGTGGCCCTGAGCATTCAGTTGTGGCTGTGTTTACAAGGTCAGTTACTGTTGGTGCTATGAGAAGCCTTTTCTTCTTTTAAGCCACTTCCTATCTGAATGCCCTCTGCTTGGAGGATACATACAAACATGGTCTTCTCTGGCCAGCCCACCAGGTAAAGAGGAGCTGTTTTACACCCTAGACACTATAAAAGACATTAACCTATAACTAAAGTGCTGTAGCCTAACAAATGAAATAAAAATGAATAACACCTTCCTTAAAATAGCACTAATCCAGCTCCTTAGCAACTACTGAAATCTGTTGTCTAGACCAAGTTCAGTGACATTTTCTTTGGTGGGGAGGTACTGG